ATCTATAATAATAAAGTTGGCTTATCTGCCCCCACAATCCTCCACGTCCCTTTTTCTTGATGGGGGGTTTTCCGACACGTGTCGAGTTATGGTTGGTTGTACGCGTCATTTTTTTTTATAAGCCGACGAGTGTATTTCGTGCTGGGCTTGCAACACTTTCAAAGGCCCATGCTAATTTTTTATTCTGGCCCGTAAGGAATTATGTTTCTTCTTCCCCGTCTGTTCTGCTTCTCCTCGTTTCTTTTCCTCTGCGAAATCAGAGAAACAACAAAGTTTGTCATTTATTTCGAATTTACCTGAGCTTAATTCACGCCTCTCTCTTAAATTTTGCTGGGAAACTCTTCGCTTTCTGACAAACTGTCTGCAGTTCACCTATAAATATCGCTCGCTGCTACGATGAAAATCACAACTGAAAAGAAATCTAGAAACTTTGAAACTCCAAAAGAAGCTTGCGATGGGAAACTCTTCGCTTTCTGTTTTTAATTGTGAGTAATCTTCTAAATGCAAATTGCAATTGATTTATACTCCCTTCTTATGTAGTTTAAGCGTTTATCAAATCTTTATTATAGATTTCTCTTTTTATCTTTGGATATTGAGTCTCATATCATTTGTCTATTTAGCTTTGCTTAGCATCTTTTTTCTTTTCAACATACTTTTTTTTTGTTGGTGCAAAGTTGCAGCGTGTAATCGCAACTTTAGTATTGGACTCTGGTGTTGAACTAAGACCTTGTGATGAACTTTTCTGGTTCAATAAACCAGAATCACTTTTTCCTTATCCACTTCATTCAGTTTCAAGTGTACACAATCTTCTGAACCTCTATTTGTCACTAATGATTTTTGGTTTAGTAGATATCCAAGACACTTGGTGGGCACGTTCGCAGAGTCTATGTCGGTGGGCTTTCCCCTGCGGCAAATAAACAGGTTAGTATCCACTTTTTTTTCTCAGTCAAAATATGTTACAACATTTGATACTAACATTGATTTACTTTCCTGTCTTGCAGTCAGTGGCTACATTATTTAATTAGTCACGTTATGGCTGCCGTTGGTGGACACATTGCTGGCCAAGGTGATGCTGTTGTTAATGTTTATGTAAACCACGAGAAGTTTTCTTTTGTGGAGATGTGTTTATCAATTGCAAAAATTGTTTTCTTTTGCAGATTAATATGTTACAGTTGGGCCCAGTGGCAACAATAGTTGTCTGTCTGACTCAAGTTGTGACGGAGGATGATCTCAGAGACTACATGGAGTATGAAGACATCATGGAAGACATGAAACAAGAAGGCTGAAAGTTTGGTTAGAGGTGTCTATATTGCATTTATTATCCATTTAGAAATACAAGTATTAAAAAGCATATTGACTTGCCACTTTATTTTCTTTGGTTGTATATTTTCTCTGGTTTCTTATAGATTTCACATGGTTCGCTACTACATAACCTTCTTGAGTTTGAAGCTCCCATCAAGATCTACGGTAATCAGTATATTTTCCTTTTGATCTTTTTCTTTGTGTTTTTTTCTTTTGGTTTTGGAATCCGAGTTCTACATGATTGCTTTCATGGGTTAGTATTTTTGCCTAGATCAGCTCCCCGAAAGAAAAAAGTTCTTATTTTTATCTGTTTTGAGTAGGTTTTGGGAAACGTGAATTGGTTGTAGCCAAAATGTGACTTTGTGTTTGGTTAAGTTATAGAAAAGGAAGAACAACACAAAAAGTTTCTTATTGGGTGGATTTGTGGAGTAACTAATAGAGGGGATATGCTTAATCAATCATCTGATTGCACAGATCATCTCAAAACAGAGAGAAGTTAAAAGACTCATAGAGATCACTTGAATAGCTCTTAGTTTTGTGTGAGACATGGTCAAAAAGTTTAAGGAGCTTAAACTATTGTTTTGCTCATAGCCGCTTGATGTAACCTAGGATTGCATCTGATTAGTGATTACAAATAACAAATATACTGATATGTTTTATTGGTCTCTTAAAGTCACACGGATTTATAATGTTTTTTCTTCCAGGTGATATTCATGGACAGTAATCGGCTCTGTTGAGGTTTCAATACGAGGCTTCTCACCTACAGCTAACTATTTATTTTTAGGAGAGTACGTGGACCAAAGGTAGCAGAGTTTGGAGACGATCTGTCTTCTACTTGCTTACAAAATCAAGTACCCGATAACTTTTTCCTCCTAAGAGGAAGCAACATATGAGCTTCCAAGTGAGGCGTTCTTCAGTTACAAGAACCGCTTTATCTTGCGTCGCAGAAACAGAGCAAGGTTCTTCACAATTTAAAAACACATTGTTATCGAACTTTAAGTGTATACACGCGGCTTGAAGTTTGTGTAGGCTTTGTGTAGGCTTTAAATCAAAGTCATATATTTTTTTAAACATAATAAAATATACATCAACCAAACCAACATAATAAAAATATATGAATATGAATTATTTATATAATTATTGTATAGACAAGTGAACATGATTTTTTCTCTTGATTATGAGACATCCCTTTTTGATTTTATTAGTCTATTTTAAATAATTTATATATGTTTTCCACTGCCAAAAATATGCAAAGTACATTTCATATTTTTTCTCTCGGTTATGAGACTTAAGTTTCTATGATGTTGGTCTATTTCAAATAATATATATACTATATATGTGTGTGTGTGTGTGAGAGAGAGTGTTTTCAAAAAACTATATTCTGCCAAAATATGCAAATAATGTTTTTTTTTTCTCGACTATAAATCATCCATTCTACTAATATTAAAGTATATTAGATCACTTATATATCTGATTATATTTTTAAATAATATTCATTAGGTTTATGATCTATTAGAGATTCAAAGTAATAAACAAAATTCACTTTTTAGTTTTGTAAAGATAACCATGAGTTAAATGAGATAATACGATCCAAAATTCATGTATTTCTTTCTACAGTGTAAAAAAATATTATTACAAAGTATTTTGAATCACTAAAAAGCAATACAAATTACTTATATACTAAAAGCTAATATATTTTCATAAAATTATTAATATACATTCATGTTTATTATACTTCAAATTTCTAAAATGCTATAGAAATTAGTATTTCATCTATTTACAGTTAGTTATTATAACAAGATTATTTTAATAACACAATTAAACAATTTATAATTAAAAACCCGGCGCGTAGCGCCGGAAAACCACTAGT